TAGTGGTGCAGTTAGGATATGTATGTAACTTTCATTTTTTCTCCAACTCATTCAACCATGGGCATACCTTTCACACTCTTAATACCTCTAGAAAATATGTGCTGCAGATCCTACTATGGGAAATTTGGGACATTTTTTCTCTTATTGAAGGCCTTGGATTTCTCAAACCTCTACCTACCAGCAAACTACAGTTTGTGGGCAGAACTGAATTTATACTAACTCCCATTGACACTTTTCCTACTTATTTTTCTCTGTAAGCTTTATCTCTTTCACAAGCTTGGCAATTTGAATTTGCAAACTGGATACATTCAAGCACCTGTTTTATCTCATGATGGTTGTGAAACTCCTATTTTAAAGGAAATAATCTAGAGATGAAAAGAAAACTTTCTCTTTGTCCACAGTTGAAGGTGTCACAAAATAATCAGCCACTAACCTGGATATATTTTCCTAAATTGTACTAAGATAATCTGCGTACTTTTTAAAAAATATTGATTCTTGAGTCTCACTTCAGACTTAAGAATCAACACTGAAGCATCTCCAAGAGACAACATGAAATAGAAAAAAATCATCCCAGGTAATTCACATTATCTGAGAAGATAGGGGAAAAACTGAAGTACCTGTGATATAAAATCATGATAGTTTCATCTGAAGTACTGACTACCTCTAAACCTTTGCTCTAGCCCTTTTTTCATGTATATTAAATTTAAATTTGAATCAATTGTTTTATTACATCATTATATCTTCTAACCTAAGAAATCACCTTTCTTCTTTGTTCCTTTATTCATTACAACTACAGCGTAACTGAAATATAGGAAAAATAAAAGTGACTTCCACAAAAGAAGGAATACCAAAGAAGGAAGAATGCTCATAGGCCAAGCAAAATTAAAACATCCTGTATTGAATTAGGAGTTGAAAAACTGTAAGATTCATTGCCCCAGTCTTCTTCGATCTGGGCAAACATTCCACATTTTAAAACAAACAAAAAACCTTTAACAAAGGGCTGGGGCATGGCTCAAGTGGTAGAGCACCTGCCTAACAAGTGCAAGGCCCTGCATTCAAACCCCAGTAGCACTAAAAAAAAAAACCTTTTAATAATTCAAGATAAAGAGAAAATAGTCAGTAGAAATTAAGTCCAACTGAGTCTTACTCTAATCATTTTCCTAACACAACTTTCCATTTACTCAGCATAATCAAAGTCTTTTGTGCAGAATTCTCCCTAGAATACCAGACCTAAAACCTTAGAAATGTAATGCTGCAGATAAGGGAAATTTGTATCACTGAAGGTTACTACTTTTTGAGAGAAAATGGAGAGAAAACAAATACAATAAAACTCAAGAAAAAACTGGTCAAAGGAAGTAGTGAAGAGGTCCGGCAGAGATGAAGCAATGTGGGTTGCAATACACAAGTGCATTGAAGCAACGTTAGGAATCTCTCTGTGTAGCTATCTTTATCTCAAAACAGCAAAAACGCTATGTCTGTCTTATTATCTCTTTTGTTTACTCTTCAACAAAATCAGAGAACAAGAGGGTGGAACAGGTTCTGGCCAGGGGTTGAGGGGGAAGGTAGCCTAAACAATATACACACATGTAAGTAAATGTAAAAATGATAAAATAAAAGAAAGGGAAAAAAGAAAAAAACTGGTCAATAAAGAAATAGAGGTTTACTGGATTTAGTAATTACTTTTCCACAATTTCTTGGTATTTAAAAATTACCTCCTTCCTAAAGTTTCAAGGAGACAAAAAAGATTATTTCGGCTGTGTACTGGTGGCTCACGCCTGTAATCCTAGTTGCTCAGGAGGCAAAGATCAGGAGGATTGTGGTTCTAAGCCAGCCTGGGCAAAGAGTTCAAGAGACCTATCTCAAAAAACCCTTCACAAAAAAAAGGGCTGGTGGAGTGGCTCAAAGTGTAGGCCCTGAGTTCAAGTCCCAATATTGTTAAAAAAAAAAAAAAGATTATTTTGCTTAACAACATTAAAATAATATTCATCCAAGAGGAATTAAAAATAGCCTGGATAAAAACAAAATGTTGTATGGTAAAGATTTACTTCAAATATTTAAAAGTTATATAGCTGCTATGTTAAGATATGTCAAAAGTGAGTGTCGACAACCATCTAAAAGTGAAAAAGGATAATTTCTTAAAAGCAGCAAATGATTTATGAAAATGTTTTATGACACTTCCACTTTCAGGTTAGCATATATTTAAAAAGTCCTTAGAATTATTCTTTTTTCTTAATTTTAAAACATTCTTTTTTATATCTAATAACAACTGAAACTTTCCTGTGATAAATTTTAATATCTGTGTTCAAAGTTAGATACCTCTACCCTTATGCCTTTGTAAAAACTTCTCATTGGGGAAAACAAACCATTTTTCCCAAGCACTCTATTTTTTTTTTTTACAAAATAGAAAATCAAGCTCTTAACCTTCTTTTGTGTTATTTGCACACCTGTAGAACACATACATGGTATCATATTTCATATTTGTTTTTATCTACACACTAACTATATTACATTACCTTAATCTCATCATAAGGTTATCTCATCCAAAGTAAGCCCTAACTTTGATTTCCTTCAAGTTCAAAATAAATAAATAAATTAACCAACAGCACACAGCGTATGTTAATACATTCAGTGTTCATTTCAAATTAAACTACATGCATGGTTTCAATTAATGAAATGGTTCCTTAATGGTATGCTCTTTAGGTTACATTACATTATGTTTTGTTATATTATGCTATTTGAGTTCGCATGTCCCCCTACTTCTAATTTATTTACAGGAAACTTTCAACTCACTTGTTTTCCATTTACCACTTAAATCTCCAGTTTTCTTCTCTATTTTCCTTAGAGTTAGACAAATAATTTTTATTTTTGGTTCCAGGTGTTCATATTTGCAAAAAAAGTGTATGAATTTACTTAAGCAGACAAGTTATGGTGTTTTAAAGAAATGCAGATCATTATACTTTACTTCTTGAAACTGGGGGAAAATGATTTAAATTCATTAAATTATTAGAATCATTCAATATAGCCAATAACCCAGTACAAGTAATAAACATAAAATTTTGAAAAACATTAAACAAAGTACAAGAACTAGGATTAGTTTCAGCTGTTGTTAACATTTATGAAATCACTATGAAGTCACTTCACTTGACCTCAAATTCAACATTATAAAAGAAAGGATTTATGATTTCTAACATTCATTCCAATTCTAAATGGAATTCTTTTAGATGTGTAATGCAATTTCAGTTATAAATTTTCTATTATATTGTAAATACCTGCCCCCATACAAAAACAAACATACTCACATACACCTGAAAATGACATTTTTGTTAAGGAAAAGCTTTAGGAATAATAACATAAGAGAATGCAAAATTCAAAACAGCAATTATGCACACTCATATACTGACAGTGGGAGAGTAACTGACATTTCTCTCCCAAAAGTCAGTGACTATCAAAAATTATAAGGTTTCAGTAATCTTGCTTCATCTCTGCACACAGACCTAAATTTGTGACCATTTCCCTTGAGAGATAGAAACCATTCACACCAGTCATAACTACAGGTGTGTATGGCAAGAGATAATACTGAGATCATGGAAGACAGAGCAAGGTTTTGTAGTAGAAAAGATGTTTATGATTTAGTTTAGAACATCAGAGATATTTGAGCAGTTTATTTACTTTAGTATGAGAAAAGCAACAGATTAACTGGAAGGATGAAGGCCTGGAGACAACACAAAGATTTCCACTTAACTGTTATACGCACGAAACTATTTTCACTATCATAGAATCAGTATTGTGTGTTCTTGTGTGACAGTTTAGATTGTCCTTGACTATTTAGATTTCAAAGGTGTAAAATGACAACCTATGCAGTGAGTTGCTCCTAAAACTACCCCCAGCAAAATTCTGTCATATTTGCCTTACACAATCTTGCAAAATAATCTTATTGGCCTGAAGTCTCTACAAGTACTCTATCCATTGATAACATATTCTCTTTATCTTATTCACTCCAAACTCTACGGTATTTTAAAAATACCCTCTATTCATCCATATTTGCATTTTCTATTTTTACTTCCAAAATAAAGTGTATGTCCCCAATGAGTACACTTATAAAACCATGCTGGATAATACGCACTGTGTTATTGAGAACATGGTCTTACTTGCTATTATTTTATAATTGGGAAACTGGTCATGGGTGAGATTAACACATCCATGTTAATTTTTAATATTAGCACACAGATAAAAAAACATTAACTTTTACAAATATTGCCTTTGGTGTAGCAGTCTCAATTTCACCTTTCTCTCTTGTTCTCAGCCATTTCTTTACTTACCTACCCCTGAAGGATTCTGAATTTGTAACCATGTGATTTTATTCCTAATTATTTTAAGGTTTGCTGTTGCAATTCCCAGAAAGGACATAAAAATGCTAAGGTGCACTTTCATTAGCACATTCCTCTGGCTCTACCATAATTGTTTTCCCATTAAAAGTGATTCTTTGAAAAAAATCAAATTATTTAATTTCTTTTCTGTGCCATTGAATAATGTATTTCATCTAACCAGAGCTACACCAGAGCAAAACTATAGGTTGCTCTAAAGTTGTGTCTCCAAATTAAAGCCAAAAGTAAAGCTACTTTCCTTTTTTAAGAAAAATCCTGCTCCTATAAAAGCGCCTCAAGAATCAACATGCTAGGCACAGAGTCTAAATTCAGAAAATATAGCACAAAAAAGAAAAACTCTAGATATCAGAAGCCCATGAGGTCACAACGCTTGCAAAGAAAAACAGATCATTTATTTTTTAAGGAAACTGTGTATAAAATGGGGAATGAGAATCAAAGGATTAAAAACTTGGAGAACCACTGAAAGAATGTAATTGTCTATACAATTCACTTAACAATTCACATAGCAGTGAGAAGTGGGAGACTTACACCCTTACCATACTGTAAGAGCAAGTTGCAATGTAGAGTTAATAACCTGCTTTCATACTATTTCTTGGAATTAAAATAAAAACTTACCTTCAAAAATGGACCCCAATTTGTATTCTCCACTGAAAAAATGGGGTAAGGAAAATACAAGTGCTCCCAGTCCTATCATAATTGATGCAAATGAAAGCCATCTTGGTTTGTGTCCTCTTTCACCCAAAGAATGATACAAATACAGATAACAAACAGAATGAGATATCGTAGCTTGATGATATCAGACCAGTTAAGGAACTCTTCATTTCATAGCGCTTCTCAATAGTGGAAATGCTTATATTTACTAGTCCATTTACGACAATTCCTAAAAAAGAGAAAAGAAAATTTCGGTCTATTATTATAACTTACTGTATAGATTATGATTCCTAACAAGATGTGCTAAAAGTTTGTTGGTTGTTTCTTTTGCATATTTTCTAAAACGTCTCAAAGTTTGAAATTAGGCAACTCAAGCATACTTCCTTGAAAATGATTTTGCTTTTTAAATTGTAAACCTGTAAGTTATCAGGTGTTAACAAAACTGATGCTTGCTATATACTAAATTGCAGCTAATTTGTCTTTTTCTTTAAATAAGAGTCAGACTTGTAAAGCCTTATGAGGCCAGTTTGCTGGAGTTTTCAGGTGTACTGTACTTCAGTGCACCTCTTTGGGAAGAGTACAAATAGTACAAGTAACCACACAGGCCATGACAGTAATGCTTAATTGCTTCCTAAGCTTTAGCCATATTTATTAGTAACAAGTGTTTACCTTGACTTAGCTATAAGTCAAATTGGGGAAATTGAGCTCTCAAATCTTTTAAAAGATTTTTTTCCTGACACTTTTATAAATATTAATGTATTTTATCTTTGTCATTGTTCTTTCACACAGAGTTTCTCTGTGAAGTCCAGGCTGGCTATGAACTCATGATCCTCTAGCCTCATCCTCCTGACTACTGAGATTACAGGTATGGGTCACCACACCCATAACTTTTAGCTCCAGTTTAAAATTATCATTTAAATGATTCTTGAGGGCTGGTGGAGTGGCTCAAGTGGTAACAGCGCCTCCCTAGCAATCATGAGGCCCTGTGTTCAAACCCCAGTACCACCAAAAAAGAAAAAACAAACAAAAAAATTTGTCCTCTAAAAGGTTCTGGAGCAAAAATAAACATAAGAGTGCTATTTTAACCACTAGCATTCTAAATTATATGCAAAATAAAAGAAAAAAATTATATTTCATCTGCTTACTAAAATTATAATGAAGGAGTAGAAGATAAACAGAGACTGAACATCCAATTTTGACTGATTTTAAAATGTCCTGCCCACAATGTAGATTAAATTAACACAAGTATAAACATTATTATAAATTGATAATAAAAAAGCATGATTAAACATTAACTAGCTATACCTTTTACTTGAGAAATATAAAGAATTGTTTTATTTGGGCTTGAGGTGTGGCTCAAGCAGCAGAGTTGCCTAACAAGTACAAGCCCTGAGTTCAAACCCCAGTACTGCCAAAAAAAAAAAAAGAATTGTTTTCATTATTAATTAATACAATGAGTATGCACATGCCATAATCTCTACAGTATCTTTAAATGTTGTTTTATCAAGATTGGAACTGAAAATATATTTAACAAAATTGATATAATAACTTTCAAAAGTTCTAAAATTATTTTTTACTTGTATGTCAATTTAATAAAACATTTATGTTCAATCTAATTAACAATTACTGAGATTTCAAGAAAAAGCATCCAAAGTACTAGGAATAGCAGGTATTATATATTTTATAAGGAAATAGTTAACCTGATAGCATGAATATTTCCCCATCTAAAAATCAACTTTCCAACACCCAGTCCTGTACTGATCAGAAATCAGTCATTAGAAATCATTGCTCTTGGGCTGCTGGAGTGGCTCAACTGGTAAGAGCACCTGCCTACCAAGTGTAAGGCTCTGAATTCAAGAGTTCAACCCCCAGTGCCAGAAGAAAAAAGAACAATCATTGTCCTTATGGTAGAACTTCTCTTTGAAAATGTAAACCTGAAACTCCTCTGGAAGGTCAGTACTTGAATCTTATGAATCTGAAGTGAAATCTGTGCTATACAAATTCCAAGAGCACCTCTTGTAAAAGCAATTCCATGAAATAGCACATACTACATCTCTTTACTGTAAATGCATGAACATAGGAAGCACATTAGGAAATTAGGCACTAAAAGAAACCCCAGTATCTTTGAGAAATGTTGTGTTAACAAACACACTTGTTAATTTTGTTTTCCTTCCAAATTAAACATCTCTTAATGTCTTCCTAAGGACCGTGTTTGAAAAACGTGGTAGCAATGTTTTCAGTCATTGAAACTTAAACTGAACATTATCTGGTTTCTTTCATCTGGAATTATGCTTTTTAAATTGTGGACTTATGGATAGAAGACGACTAGACTAAAGACACATTTTTCTGAGAATATCAATTATTTTTGTAATAATTAGACAATATAAAATGAGATATCCTGGAATAACCTAGAAATTTCAAAATAAATTTTAACATAAAAAGACTTTCTTTTATTGTGTTCAACTTTTTGAATTCTGCTTTCCTTTGACACACATGCTTCACAATCACTAATTTTGGACAACAAAGATGAAGAAGGGAAACACGGGGACAAGAAAGGTGGTGTAGAAATAACTCTTCAGCAAAATCTTCAGGAGAAGAGGGTCAACAAACACTTAGCACCTAACTAACACGTGTACTAAGCTCCTGGGAGAGGAGGAGGGGAAATAAGAAAAGAAAGTATATACTTTTATTTAGTTCTCTACTAATTTAGGACAGAACAACTTCCGGTTCAGCCAAGATATTTCTTGGGTTACCTTATTTCCAATCAATCCTTGCTTACTCGCAATATATTTTGAGACTATGACTCAAATGACCAAAAACAATTTACATAGCAAATTCAGACCTTCAGCATGTCCTTCAAGATACCTCACTTGTACCCATTCCACCTCACTTTGTCACCTCAGTATAACTCCCACTTCTTTCATCCCTTGCCTTAGCGGGAACAAAAGCAGCTACCAACTTCTCTATGCTTTCTTCCAAGGGAGAATGGCTCCCTCCGCCATGTCTCTCACTCCTCCAAACTCGGTTTAAATTGAATACTCCAGGGGGGGTAGACATCAGGACTTAATATGTAACCCTCAGGAGAACTGAAAAGAGATCCTAGAACAAAACAGATACTGGATAACGCTTGTGACTGAATAGCTAATAAAGGCTCACCTTTCAACGAAGTCTGAAACCTTTGCTAATTGACTCACTGGGCTGCTCTTATGACCACGTTCTCATACACACTAACAAAATACGAATGACTGTCTAATCTGTGCTACAGATTTTAAAAACTTTTTTTCTTTGCGAATTTATTAATCCTGCAAATTTATTAATCCTGCTGGAGAAACAATGAGAAGAAAAATCCCTTTAATAAGAAACTCAGTTTTATATATATATATGCTTTTATAATGTAGATAAGACTACCCAAGAGCAAATCCTTTCCCAAAGGAGGGTTCTTGTAATCTTCCCTGGAGGACTCTAATCGGCTAAATTTAAACAGAACACAAAACAGTAAAAGTTGCAAAGCAAGTTTTAAATGTTGCAATAAAGGAGAAGCTAAAATGTGGCAGGCTGTACCTGGTTGGCTGACGGGTGAGAGCTCCTGCAGGGTCCACGCCTTGGTCCCCTACACTGCTTGGGGACTCCCTCGCACCTGCCCTTCCCCCCAGCCCCCAGTTGTGGCTTTACCTTGAGTGAGGGCCAAGAGGCAGTAGTGCAGCAGAAAGCCTTGGGGCGTGTTGCAGCGCTGGAGGCACCGGGGGTGAAAGTTCCGCCACCCGCAAGGACCCTCCTCGAACTCGGATCCCAGCCGCTCTTGGGAAGCAGGGGGACCTGATGAGGGCAAGCCTGGCTCCGGTGACTTTTGGGGCTCCCGAGACTCGTGTGGCTGCGAATCTTCTCTCTGGCTGTTCGCAGAGACCTCGACCTGAGAAGGCGATGCAGACAAGCGGTGTGGGGTGTCTGGGCTGGAGGGCACGAAAGCCGGGTTCTCAATGCCTCTGGCGCCCTTCATGGTCAGGAAAACTGCTCCGGACTCCAGCGTCTCCAAGCAGCACAAAGCTAGGTGGCTTTCTGACTCGTCCCCTGGACAAGTGACAGCGCCCCCGAGCGGGACAAGTTCCCGCCTCCTGGCCCTCCCACCTCCAGCACTGTCGCCGCCACCACCACCGTGGCTGTCCTGTGGCTCTCGGAGCTCGCCGGCCTCCGGAGCGCAGCGAGCGGCCGCGCTCCGGTGGGCAGAGAGGCTGGGGCTGCGCTGCGCCATACCTGTCGCCGCCGGGGCCAGCGAGACAGCAATGCTTGGGCGCGTGGCCCGCAGCCAGGTGAGGGGCGCGGAGCCGCCCTGCCACTCCCGCGTCTGCCGCGCGCTCTCCCCAGGCCAGGGACTGCGAAGAAATAGAGATTGTGGGAGTCTGTGGGTGAACGCTTCCCCTGGGTGCTTATATGAAAACTGTAAACACACTTGCATCAGGAGATCTTCCAAGAAAATACAGTGCAGTTTTCTTCCTTTGCTGCGCACCACACCGAGAATCCTGGACTCCAAAAATGAAGCAGCCACAGGTATAATATTTTACATTCCATGAACATCATGATAAGATTTTTACTTTCATTCCTCCTAGAAACAGAAATCCAACCCTTCCTCATCACCACCATCATTAGTACAACCTAACCACAATTTTGGTTTTACTTCTCCCAAACCAAAGGAATAGAAATTAAGAAACTATAAAAACATAAATGCAAATAATTTCTGTGAAGTAAATAAAAACACTTTGAAGACCTTAGTACATTGTGTGGTAGTAGTTATAATTCATTCATTCATTATTTCATTTATCATCAAACAACATTTATTTTTGGGGTACTAAACACTACTGTAGTCTCTAAGGGTTCACGAGCAAACAAAAATTGGCAAACAGCCCACGGCTTATGATGTTTACATTCCAATCGGAGACAGATACTAAATGTTAATACTCAGTGCATGTTACATAATATCAGAAATAAGTACTATTTTTCAAGACTTCTATTGCAATTTTGTGTATTGTATTTACAGGGTAGAGGAACTAAAATATAAAATATGTATCTTACTTTGAACAGACATACATCTGTTCCTTGTTCTTATACTAGCCTAAAACATGGAGGAGTAGAAATGAAAACCAACATATTTTAAATGTCTGCTATATACCCCCATTATTAGTCCTTACATGAGCATAACTGTTATCTACATTTTACACATGGAAGAAACTATATCCAGTGAGGATCAGGAACTCTCCTCAAGTCTCCTAGCTAATAAGTGACCCGCCATTTGCAAAGGACTTGAACTCAGTTCACTCAGACTGGACTTCCAACTTTCTGTCTTTTAATTAGTACAGCCCATATCTGATGGCTAGAATTATTGCATAGCCATTCTGAGAGATGGAAACTCATATTTCTCCAGTATTGAGAGTTTAAAAGACTCAATACTTCAGATTTCGAGGTATACAAATTAAGTGTGGCATGTAATCCTCCTAGGCCCTCTTTTGACAGAAATGGACTTAAAGTAGATATCTACAGGTGTAAATAAATATTGCCATTTTATCTATGGAATATGAGGTAATTCACCAAACAAGCAAAGTTTGCTTTGATGAGAGGGGGTCATCTACAATCATGGCGTAAGACTATTTGGCAGCTTTGAATTAACAAATCAAAATACACTATTAAAATAATATTAGCATAGCCATCATACACTTAAATTCATACTAAGAAGAAATCTTCATTCTTACGGGTGTTAGAAAGTAGAATTTTGTTGAAAGATTAGCAAAAGTGGTATTGCTTCATTTTAAATACATCTTGTTCTCACTGAAAGTGTTACCAACACCATTTCCTATTACCTTACATGCTTTATGTTGCAATGAGGAAAGGAAGGGGCTCAGGTTTGCAACAGAGATGGAAAAACACTTGATAAATTTTACCTTTGACAATTCTATGAAAAATTGTAATACTTTAATCATTTGATTAATCTATAGAAAATCAGTCTCAAATGAGCAAAACACACCATGTTAAATTTCAGGAGATAATTGATTAATTGCTATTTTTAGTGGATTTCTCTCTCTCTCTTCTCTCTCTCTCTCTATATATAATATACATATATAATGTATATATGGATTTATATATGTACATATACATATGTAATGGAATGTGTTAACTAACTACAAATACATAATTTTTTTAGACACAGTCTTGTTGTCTAATTCAGGCTGGTCTAGAACTCTCTATGTAGCCCAGCCTAGCCTTAAACTCTCAATTCTCCTGCCTCAGCCTCCCAAGTGCTGGGATTACAGACATGTACCACAATGCCTGGCTCATTCTATGTTTTCTCAAAGTGTAGAGAACTGGAGAGATAATGAATCCACATTATATAGCAGAGCTCCAGCACTGCGCACAGGAGTGGCTGTCCTTGCTCATGGGTACCATTCTCTGGAGATACAATAGGTCTTCCTTATCACGAGCTGGATGAATCCAGATAAAGTGGCTTAATGATAGAAGTCATCAAGATTTTCCCACTAATACTCCTTGCTCAAGTGTTTGGCCTTCCATGCAGATTAGTCAAGAGGATGAAAAGGTACAATATTACTATCATATGTACTTTATCATCTTTCCTTCTGTGTACTTTATTAATTCCCTTACAGTTGCAAATTGAATGTGAATCATTTGAAACTATAATACTATGAGGCTCAGGTCATCTTAAAATTACAGGGATCTTGACAGTGCCTGAATATAAACATAGTCAAATGCAGGTATTGTTGAGATTAATTTAAAATCCCAGTAATAAGTGTTTATTGCTACCACTTGTTTGGTTGGTTGGTTGGTTGGTTGGTTGGTTGGGTTTTTGTTTTGGTACTGATGATTGGACCCAGGACTTTGCACATGTAGGCAAGCACCTGAAACATGCAGGGGGAAAAAGACAAATATGTATACAGGAAAGAGCAGACTTTGAAGGACAGTGGTCCCTAACATAAAAGAAACTAGATGAATAACTTATAACCCAGAGAGAGTTTTCAAGTGATTAAGTGGAGAGAGTGGGAGAAGACATAGGCTTGTCAGAAAACCTAGAAGACTCACCCAGTTGAAGAGACAGAGACGAAGACCAAGGAGACCAAAAAAGCAAAATTTGCCGAGTAGTGTCCTGGAGGAAGGCTGTCCAGAAGACAGCACAGAGCATCCCTTCAGAACCCGCCAGTATGGACCCATGCACATGGTGTGAGGAATCATCTGAAGAGATTAGATGGGTGGTACACAGTACTCACGAAGGACAAAATGCAAGTGAAATAAAGGTTTCTAATGTAAGAAAATCTGAAGTAAATTCATTACCCAGATCTCCTACACAGAAAAGATGTTAACAGAAGTCAGGAAAATGATACCAGGTAGAAACTGATCTATACAAAAGAATGAACAGCACCAAAAAATGAAGAGACAGAACTTAACATCTATGAATAAATATACAACATTTTTTCTTATTGTTTCAATCTCTTTGAAAGATAATACACTGTTTAAACAAAAAATAGTAAAGTTTTTTCTTGGTTCATAAGATCTGAAAAGGTAAAATGTGTAACAGTAGTCCAAAGGCTTGTAAAAAATAAATGGAAGCATGCTATTGTAAATGTATTTATATAAAAATGTCTTTGATATCCATATTTATTATAAATGTCCTTTATCTAGGAAGTGATGTGTATGTGTTTCTTATATGTGAAATGACATAATATTAAAGGTAGAATAAGATAATGACTTTTACCCTAAACCAAAATTACTCACAATTTGTCTGAATTTCACCATAGCCTCTGCCAAATATTACTTTATATCCTTGTGCATATGTTAATTAAGTAGGGGTAAATGATAATAGAGTTAGTACAGGTGAAATAGACATCATTCAGTCACAAAATAGTGACTGAAATGGCTGGCACAGTGGCTCAAGTGGTAGAGTGCCTGCCTACCAAGTGTGAGGCCTTGAGTTCAAACCTCAGTACCATCAAAAAAAATACATAGTGACTGAAAAGAAAATAGGTGCTTTACCACTTGAACCACACCCCCAGTCTGAATAGCAGATAAAAGTCAACACAGAAAGAACATTAATAGAAGCTGAGAACATGTACTAGATCTGGTGTCAAACAAGCTCATATGCTTAGAGCAATGAATGACTGTTTATCTCTGGCTCATGAAGGATTCAATATGGATTTACCCTTTTAGGAGGCCTTCTTTGAAATTTCTCCTAAAGATTATGAATTCAAGGGTCCAAGTTCTTCCTACTTTTTGGTCCTCTCATGTCAGTTATTTTTTTGCTACAAATAAATTGGGGAGAGAATGGAGACATTTGCACTGATGTTTCTGCCCAGCATCCAAATGGATCACATGGTACCTCTATTCCTATGCAACTGACCAGAACTTAGCCACCTACTTTACCTAGATGTGAATGGTCTACTGTGTCTGCAGTAGACCTGTGTGCCAAGGAGGAATATAAAACAGTGTAGTGAACACAGAGCATTGTACCTGCCACAAATGTCATGAAAACTTCATGTAATAACATCAGTAGAAAACAAGTTAAAAGCATGATCGACATGGCTGGACCAAATAGGCTGACAGAATTTTTTTTTTAAATTTGAAATGAGCTTAATCAAAAGATTAAGATACGAGAGATTTGAGCAAACAGCAAGTTAAAATACAGCTTATTAGTGTGTAAACTTTAGGGACTTTAATTGAAGTTGGAATCATTGTTAAGATTTTTTCTCTGTGCCATTTAGAGTACCTCAAAATATCAGAATCAATTCTAAATGTTGCATTAAGAAAGCCATTGACTAATGAGAGAAGACCCAAGGAAATGAAAAGAATAATTGAAATTTATCACATGAAGATTAATAGAGAGAACTATGAAATTCTATCCTAAAGATATAGGGGTGGCATAGTAATTGCTATAAAGTGCTTGAGTGAAATATCATTAAGAGATAAAACTTTATTCTTTATGGTTTTTTTTTTTTTTTGGGGGGTTTGGTTTTGAAGCCAGGGCTTTGCACTTACAAAGCAGGTGCTCTACCATCCTAGCCATACTTCCAGTTCATTTTTGCTCTGGTTGTTTTGGAGATAGGGTTTTGTAAACTATTTTTCTGGACTGGTCTAGAACCACAGTCCTTCTGGTTTCAGCTTCCCAAGTAACCAGGCTTACAGAGATAAGCCACCAGCACCCAGTCTCTTTACAGTTCTTTAGATTAGCACAAGAACCTTGTAATTAAAAGGAAAACGTGGACTCAGTGTAAAAGACTATTCCCCCAATTATTTTTGCACTTAATACCTAGATATTTTTTAAAAAATGACCTATTTATTATGCTCCCTCCTTCTTATGTTGTAGGCACAGAAGTGTCTTTTTTTAAAATCTTAGAAAAATAAAGGCCAGCATTCATTGTAGATGTTTTTGGAAAAAAATATATTGAACATAGAGAGCAATGCAATGCTGGTGTTTTCCTATAATTTGAACCTAACATAAAAATGTTATGATTTTTTAATATATATTTTTGATAGGCAATAAAACAGAAA